GTGCCAAGAATGTTCAGTAGGAAATACAGTAGTTATTTTAACAAATGGTCCTGGAGCAACTGGGCATCCACATACGAAAAAAAGAAATTGTACCCCTATCTAACATATTTTAAAAACCCTCAAATGGGTAAAATAGCTAAATATAAAAGCTAACATCACAAAACTCTTAGAAGAAAACAAAGACACAAATATTTGTATTCTTGAGGGTGCCTGGCTGGCTCTGTCAGAATGGTGTGTGACTTGATCTCAGTGTCATGAGTTCAAGTTTCATGTTGGGTGTAGAGATTAATTGAAAAATAGATAGATAGATAGATAGATAGATAGATATAGATATTTGTTTGTTCTTGGATTTGGCAATGCCATAAGTACATGCAACCAAAGAAAAAAATTAATAAATTGGGTTCATCACAGTGAAATGTTTGTGCTTCAAAGGACACTAACAAGGTTGAAAGACTTCCTCCATAATGGGAGAAAATAATTGCAAATCAAAGATCTGAAGAGAGCATAGTATCTGGAATTCATAAAGAACTCTTACAACTCAAAAATTGTTGAAATAATCCAAATTTAAAAACAGGCAAAAAACTTGCATAGATCGTTTTCCAATCTAAAAGTGACCAGTAAGAATACAAAAAAGATGCTCAGAATCGATATTCATTAGGGAAATGCAAATCAGAACTACAGTGAGATACCTTCACGCTGCCACTGGGATGGCTGATACAAGACAGATGGTAGGCGAATGAGAGGACGTGGAAAAACTGGAGCTCTCACACACTCCAGGTAGGAATGTAAAATGGTGCAGCTGATGTGGAAAGCAGCCTGGCAGTCCCTCAAAAAAATAAAAGTTACCATATACTCAGCAATTCATTTTCTACTGACATACCCATAATTGAGAATACATTCACACAAAAATATATATGTAAGTGTTCTTAGTAGGTTCATAGAGCCAAAAAGTGGAAACAACCTAAATGTCCATAAATTGATGAATGAATAAGCAAAATGTGCCATATTCCTACAACAGAATGTTACTCAGTCATTAAAACAAGAATGAACTGTTGAGGGGCACCTGGGTGGTGCAGTTGGTTAAGCATCTGCCTTTAGCTCAGGTCATGATCTTAGGGTCCTGGGATCAAGCCCTGAGTCAGGATCCGTGCTCTGTGGGGAGCCTGCTTTGCTCTCTCCCTCTGCCTACTGCACCCCTGCTTGTGCTCTCTCACTCTCAAATAATATTTAAAAAAAAAATGAAATGCTGAGTATGTGTTCCTATACTGATAAAGATTGAAAGCATTGTATTAAGTGAAAGAGGCCAGACACAAAACATACATATCATGTACTTCAGTTCATATGAAATGTCTAGATAGGTCCATAGAGACGGAGTGGCTGCCAGGGACCGGGAGGAGGGAGGGAGTAGTGAATGTGAATGTGCACAGGGTTTCTTGGCAAATGATAAAAATGTTGTGTAATTAGTGATGGTGCTAACAGAGCCTTGTGAATATACTAAAAAAAAAAAAAAGTCACAGTTTAAAGGGTGAATTTTATGGAATGCAAATTGGATCTCAATTGAAAAAGATGACACCAGCTAAAGAACCAGACTCCTGGTGTGACGTGTGCCCTGTGATCAAAGGAGAAATGAACTCGGAGCTGGGAGAGCTCCAGAGGATACAGAATGTTCCCGTGGCTGCAGACAAAAGCAGTGGGGCCCTCAGCTTGCCCATGGATTTGGGGCCCAGGAACGTCAAGGCAGCAACGTTGGCCCCTCTGCATCCAGCCCTGCCCTCCTAATTTTAGGAGTTTGTTTCAGGGGTTCCCTGAAGAGTTACTTCTCTCATTCTTGAAATCTTTATTTCTGACTTTCCTCTAGATGCTCCTCTTCACAAATGAGAGAAATGAGTAAAATAGGTGGCGACCCCGAACAACTTTCCTTGGCCTGTTTCCTTTAATTGTTGGCCAGAAGGGGAACAGAGCACCAGACAGGAAGGTTGTAATACCATGACGTGTGGAATTTGGGTGGAAAATGCTTAAAACAGTGGTATCTTTTATGTGATTTGCTACCAAATACAGAAGCAGTCATGACAGACACACCTTTTGGCTGCTTTCTTGTGGAAGGTGCATGTCTAATTCTGCAGAAATATAATACGGATGCAAGCAGAGTCTAACAGTTCAACAGAAATGTGACTCACTGATCCATCTGTCACCTCCACCATGGGCAGCTGCTTCGAGGTTCCTCTTTTTGGCTCTCTGAGAACCCCCATCCCAGACTCCATGAGTGCATTCGGAATTGCCCCTGACTTGAGATTAGGCAGGAAATGTAACAGAGGACTGAGGATGGGGAGTGAAGACCCGTGAGAGGAGCCACAGCCCCAGAAGAGCCCAGTTTCCTCTCTGCCGACACTGGCGCCCTTGCATGCCTCAGTGGATGGGGATCTGAGGGCCAGACATAACCACAAATGCCTTTTCTTTGCTCCTGGCACTCCAGGGCTCCAAGTAGTCATGGCAGATTCTCTTCCTTGTTCCATGTGTTTGCGCTACTGCTCACACACATGTCCACAACCAGCAGTGTAGCTTGACTCCACAGCAGCTGGCAGTCGATGTACCAGTCCTCACTCAGACTTCCAGCTTAGCCCATTGATATTGTGCTGTGAAATTGTGTTTAAACTTTGAGAACTGAGGTTCAGGTTTGTAAAAATATCCATGCCTCTATATACATACATATGTTCATACTATTAGCGATCTCCCTCTAAAGACTATCAGGAACATGCCTGCAATTGAATAGAAATTGGATTCATTACTCCTTTCATCTAGAGACAAGTTTCAAAATGGAACTTTGGAATATTTCGTTAAAGGACCTTATTTTCACTTGTGTTAGTTGATTTGGGGAGTGAGTCTTTTAACTCACTCAAGCAGTGATTTGATCTAGATTACTTGCTGTCAGAGAGCAGAGATGATTAATTGGTGTCTTATGAAATCTCTTTGTGGATATATGAATAGAGTAAGACTGCAGCTGTAATTGGTGAAGAAACAGTCTTATATGGGCTGGGAGAGGGATGTGGTTGGTATTTTGAGGCTTGGGTGATGTTCATATTTTGTCTGTGTCCAGAGATCATAACTGGGTGGATTTGTGTTTCTCCTGATAATGATGGTCCTGTAACAGCCTTATATGATGTCGATGTTCTTTGCAATTTGTTATGTTCACCAGGAGCACACCAAGACCTAGCAGACGATACCAGGCCAGATTTTTATGGATGACATGGTTTGGTTTTATCTTCCTCATAGAATGTAAAGGGATATAGGGGCAGAGGTGAGCTGGTGCATTCAGCATACTTGTTCTGGACTCCAGGTCTATAAAAACAGAAGTGGAAGAAATACCTGACAGAAAATAATGGAGCCGTCTGAGCATGATTGTAGGAGGAAGGGAGCTAGGCTTGGGGTTGCAGTGACCTTAAGCAGAGGGACAAGCTGGTGTCCAGGCAGCCAGTGGATGACCCTTCCCCAGTGGCTCTTAAAGTTGGTCCCTCACCTTCTCTTGCATCCAGAACAGGTGTCAGCTTGTTCCCTAACCTCTAGCTCTACTCTACCTACTCTCTTTGCACACAGCTCAGTCCCAGAAACTGCTTAAAATGCCAGCCCTGTAACATTTAAGGCTGGGAATTGTTGAGACTCCCTCACTGCCAGATGCCAACTTGGAGAGGGTGAGAAGTCCAAAGACTGAGCAGTGATCCACACTTAAGTGTCACAGTGGCTCCCCTAGATCATGTTTGAGAATATGCCAAATAATAAGTGAATTGATAAAAAATAAACATTTCTTTCATGAAAATAATTTTGTATGGAACATTCATGACAGTGAAAAGTAGTTAAAATAAAAACTAAAAACCTTGGCTTTGATTCTGAAAATCGATGTGTAAACTACACAATGTGGCATAATTAAATGACATTGCACCTTGGCCCCAGCTGGGGAGGGCCCATGAGCAAGTGTGTTTGGGGGCACATTCACAAAACATACTTGGTGTGCTAAACTGACTCGGGGGTCGCTCTTCTCTGAGCTAAGTGGGATGAGTCTCCTAGAGAAAGTTGTCTCGAGGGTCTACATTTGTCTTCATGAAGCTACTTTTTCTCCTGCTTGGAGGGGTATCAATGGTAATTTTCCCCTTTAGGTAGACAAACTTCTTTGTGTTTCCTAAACTTCTCTAGCTTTTTGATGATTCAGAAGAATAACAAGAAAGATACAATTAATTATTAAATTCTATTGAATGATTCTTATAGCATACTACAGGAACATGATGGTATTTTGTTATTGTCACTATTAAGTAGGAATTATTGTATTTTTAGATATATGTTTAAGGTTGATTTTAGAAATCTGTTAAATCTTGTTTTTTAGAGAACTAGGGTAGTGGAAAAATATAAATCTCTCCCAATTTATGTGTGTTGTTTATTGTTGATTCATATAATAAGATGTGGACTCTTATGTTTCAAGCATAAAGAATAATATCTATTTTAAACACTATCTTAGGGTCTGTTACTGGCCGCATTTCACTACAGAACTGTGAATGTTTAGGGAAACTTTTCCAAAACAATTAAAGTTGAATAATTGCAATTATTATTAAATAAGCCAGATGTTGATTAAAATAGTCTAGTGGATAGTAACTTGAATATTCAAATAAAGTACTCTTTACCAGAAAATGATATATTTACAGTATGCCATAATGTGGACCACTTAACATTTCAAGTGAGAACATTAACCAGTATTAGGAATTCTTCATAAATATAAAGTGAATAATAACGATTTTATTATTGATTATATATTATTTATATATATATAAATATAAAATATATATTATTTCCATTATATGGGAAATGAAAGGACATTATACTTCCAGATAATTCCATTTTTTTAAAAATACACAGTTTTTTAAAAAGTTAATCAGCACAGAGGATTTTTAGGGCACTTAAAATAATCTGAATGATGTGTTGTAATGATGGATTTATGTCATTAAATATTTGTCCAGACCCACAGAACGTACAACAGCAAGAGTGAACCTTGAGGTAAGCTGTGGGCTGTGGGTGGTGATGACATGTCAGTGCAAGTGCACCTGCCCCTCTGGTGAGAGATACTAATAGTGGGGGAGGGCGTGCATGTGCACAGGCAGGCAGGAGATGGGAGATCTCTGTTCCTTCCCATCAATTTTGTTGTAAACCTGAAACTGCTCTAAACAAATACTTAAAAAACAGTGAACCAGGAAATGCCAACACTTTAAAAAACATCACTTTCTTTGTTGGCCGAACAATACTTCACGTAACTTCTATATAAATATTTCTGAGAAACTTAGAAAACATTCTGTTAAAGTTTTATTGGCATTGTGTGTTATATTACACTAACATAAATTAGTAAGGTAGAATATATTAATAGTACTTCATAATTTTACATTAATAGAGTACAATTATTTTTACTAATTGCTGAATAACTCAGTAGAAATCATATAAGCACAGATTATATAGTGTTATTGAATAGATATATTTACCATTAGAAATTTCATTATAATATTTTCAGTAAGTGCTAGATCATTAATATTGTCGTGATTATATTTATTACTCCAATTCACCCTTCCATTTTAAGATTAAATGTTCTGTCATAGTATAATTCTATTGAAATCTTCTCATTGGTCTTTCTTTTGAATTTCAGACATGATAGTGGTCAGCCTATCATTGAATCCTGCTGTTCTGAAATCTGAAGGTTCCCACTGCCTGGCTGCTGCAGGAAGAAATGTAACTTTGTTTTACCTCAGTCATATTTGATTTCTAATATTTTAATTAAAACAGTTTTTTAAATGTGAAAATCCCTAAGAATATTCTCGTCACTAAATGCAGCGCAAATTGCTATGGATTGACTACAGGTCTTGTTTAATCCAGAGATGACTTTCAGAAGCCTCCCATACACATGTAGTCACGAACAACCAAATGGTGGCCTTGCTCTGGGCTATCATTTTCCCGAAGGAACAGCTGTGCGAATGATCTTCAGGAGCTAACAGCCTGAGTGAGGGATGCGTTTGCATTTTAAATATAGTGCTGATACAGATCACCCAGAGATTGCTTTCCTCCATGGAAAAGACTAGAAACTAGGTGATTTTGCTCCTTGCCATAGTTCAGGCTGATCTACTCAAACTAGGACTGGGCTGGGTACAGTGATGAGGAGGGCCACTGAGCAGTGGGTGAGGGAAACTCATGTACTCGAATGGCTTCTTCTGAGTCGGTAACACCAGAACCAGTTTTGGAGACAGCCCTGCATGTCATTCAGCCTCTTACACATTTAAATTTTAAAAATCTCCAGGTCTTACACATGTCTTGCAGAGGAGATCCTCAGTGGATCTGAGGACCTGTTTTCTTACTGTGGAGGTTTTGTCTATGCAACGATATAGTATGAGGTAATGGGATGGTAAAAAAAAAAGTTGGTTCTTGTGTGTCATCACAGAGCTAGTGACAGAGATGTCACAGATGCACACTAATGAAATTACAATAAGAATACAGACAGTCTGTGAGATAAGTATTCTTAATCCATCATTGCTGAGTTCACAGACCAGTTAGTGCCTTCGAGGGAGCCTCACTACCTGTCCTCCCACAGCCTTAGCAGAGAGGCTAAGGGAAGATTGGGCGGGCTGCTGGGAAGAGGGGACGAGCACCTCTCAGTAGGGTTCCGCAGGTGACCACAGCCCTGAAACTAGTCAATCTGCTTGGACCTTTTTTTAGTAAACTAATCACATTTTACAGAGATGTTTAAAGCAACAACTCTTAAGGGTGGTTTCCATTTCCTGTGGACAGTTCCCCAGTAACAAGCAGAAACCTAGAAACCAGGCACCTCATACAAGTTCATTGTGTGATAGTCTCTGGGAAGAGAGAGACTGTTTTATTGCTGTTACATAAGCAACTGCCTCTAAAACTTTTAATATGGTATATGGCAAGTTGAGAAAATGTTTTCCTTTGAAATTCTTCTCTGTTTTTTTTTTTCTGGAGGTGAAATGACTAGATTTAACCTTTTGTGTGACCATGCCCTTCTCTGAATGTGACAAAAAATAACTCTAGAAAGAAAAACCCTGAGTGGTGACATCTACAAGATGGAAGGCTAGGAGGTCCCAGTGCCCATTTCTCCAACAAAAACAACAGATAGACAACTACAAACTGGCAAAAGTAGCTCTGAGAAAACTGTGGCCTATGACAAAGAAGCAGCAAAAACCTTACAGAGCTCAAAACCCAAGGATGAAAAGTTCAGGAAGCATTGTAGCAGTGTAGCCCTTTTCCCCAGTCCAGAGCAGCTCTGGCAGCAAGAGGGGGTCCACCAGAGGAGTTCCACCCCACGTGGAAAAGGGAAGGAGAACAAGCCTTACCACTGGGTAGTAGGGCTACCACTTGCAGCCTTTGCTACTGAACTCTCCCACGGTCTCCTTCACAGCTGACTCCAAGGCTGTGAGACCTGCCCATAGGAGCCCTCGTTGCTGCTCTGCCCCATCCCCCAGAACCGGGATGTGACTCCCCATGCTCCATAGCAGAGCTGCCACTGTTCTGAGCCCCACTGACAGCACAGCATCCATTCCCCACCTGAATTCCCAAGGACTATCACTACCCTTGACCCTGCTACCACTGCCCTGACACCTGCCCCCAGGCCTGGCCACAAATACTGTCATTGCCAGCGCAGTTGAGGGCACACTGAAGCAGGTACTGCCATGCATTACGGATAGACAAAATAGAAAGCCTTTCTGTTAGCAGTTCCTGTAAATCAAGAGTTCAGTTCTGTTAGGCAAATACTGAGCTTTTCTGTGCGAGGTTCTGCTGTATGCAGGTGACAGAGGCCCATGCTTACAGTGAATGAGCACGCCCTGTGTGGGAGACAGACACAGGTAGCGAGCATCAGGAGGAGGATGGCAGAGACACCCACCACATGTAAAGGCAGGAGTGTGACCAGGGCTCGGCTTGAAGGGTTTGGAAGGATGATTTGAGAAAATGGTCCTGAGCAGAATCTTTAAGCATGATTAGAATTTAGTTGAAGATGAGCAGTGAGAAGGAAGAGAAGAGGGGAAGGAGATCTCTGCAAAAGTTGGAGCATGGACACAAGCATGGTGTCTGTAAGGAGCGGGACTGTAGTATCCAGTGCGAGGCAGAGTGGCCAGGTAGGAGGCTGCAGAGGGACCCTACCACCCCGGCTGAGCCCCTGCTTGGGTAGCTTGGACTTTACCCCAGAGGCAGTGTGAGGTACAGACACAGAGAAAAAACAACATTAGAGATGTATTTTTTTAAATCCTGCATGAAAGTCACTGTGGTGTATTTCTCAGATTTTAAAAAGTAACTGATGGAAACAAATGACCCAGTTAAAAATTGGACAAAGGACTTGAACAGACATTTCTCCAAAGAAGATCTACAAACAGCCAATAACATGAAAAAAGTGTAGAAAGTCACTTCATGAGGGACATGCAAATTAAAACGACCATGAGATACACTTGAGCACTTGACACCTGTTAGGATGGCTTTTATTTAAAAAATAATAAATGTTGGTGAGGATATGGGGAAAACAGAATCCTTGTGTATTGGCCATAGGGATGTGAATGGTATAAAATATCTCCAATGGAAAACAGTTTGGCAGGTCCTTGAAAAGTTAAATGTAGAATTGTCATATAAGCCAACAATTCCACTTCTAGGTATATGCCCCAAATAATTGAAAGCAGGGAGTCAGATACTTACACAGCAATGTTCATAGCAACATTATTTGCAGTCAAAAAGTAGCAACCATCCAAATGTCCATCAACAACACATGAATGGAGAAACAAAACGTGGCATATACATGCAGTGGAATAGTATGCAGCCCTAAAAAGAAATGAAATTCTGACATATGTTAAAACATGGGTAAACCTTGAAAATATTTTACTAAGTGAAATCAACCAACCAAAGGACAAATACTGTATGATTGCATGAGGGACTTGTAGTAGTCAAATTCATAGACAGAAAGTAGAACAGAAGTTACCAGGGGCTGGGGGGAGGGAGCCGTGGGGAGTCTTGGATGAAGAAAAAGATCTGGGGGCACCTGGGTGGCTTGGTGGGTTAAGCCTCTGCCTTCAGCTCAGGTCATGTTCTCAGGGTCCTGGGATCGAGTCCCACATCGGGCGCTCTGCTCCGCAGGGAGCCTGCTTCCTCCTCTCTCTCTCTCTGCTTGCCTCTCTGCCCACCTGTGATCTCTCTCTGTCAAATAAAATCTTTAAAGAAAAAAAAAGAAAAAGATCTGGAATTGCATAGTGGTGATGGTTGCCCAACAGTGTGAATGTACTTAATATCACTGAATTAGACAATTAAAAATGATTAAAATGGTAAATTCTGTTATACATATTTTACCACAGTTATTTAAAAAAAGAGAGAGAGAAAAGATTGATCTACAACTGAAGGATAAATGGTTGGAGGATGCCTATTGTTTGTGAAGGACAAAGGGGTGGGACCCCCTGAGAAAGTGTGAGATGTGCTTTCCAGGGTCAATGTCAGAGACTCCACTACTGCAGCCCTGACTCACAGCCCAGCAAAGAAGTCATGGTTTATGTCCATCTCCACACAACTGGGAGGTGTTGTGTCTCCTGTTAACTCCAGTGACATAGTTAAATAGTTAAATTAACATAGTTAAATCCGGTAACACAGTGTTTGGCATAAGTGTTGGAACTCTCATCAGAGTGTGCCATGGGACGGTGCGGGCAAGTGTGGGCAAGTGGTGTGGAAGTTTAAAGATACATGTAAGTGTGTTCTGTGAATTAGGATATCTATTCCTGGTTCAGTTCCATAAAAAATTCTTCCATATGGTCTCCAAAAGACATGCCCAAGAGTGCTCGCTACAATACTCACATCGTGCCCGCCAACAAAATGTGGGTATGCAAGTGTTGAATAGTCCCCAAAGGGGGAATTAAACAACAGTATGAATTCATGATCCTCAAATCAACCAATGATTAGAACAAATTTAATAGACAAAATGTGAAGCCAGGCGCAAAAGGGCACGTGATCTGTAAATTCCAAATTTAAAGGACAAGGTGAATCCATGCTGTCAGAAGTGGTGGGAAGGGGCTACCTTTGGGGTGACAGAGACCGACAGGGTGCACAGGGGTTGAGGGGCAGGTGCCGGTCCTGTCTGCTGCTTAACCTGGTTGCCAGTTGCAAGGGATTCAGGTTGTGAAAATACATCAAGTGTTTCAATTTCAGTAAAAATTTTTGAAAAACTGGAAACAAGTTTTCAGAATGCTCTACAGAATTCAGTTGTGGCACGTGGTTGGAGACAGGGCTGTAGAGTCTCTGGGCATAAACCAGATCTAGCCAGATGATCATTGTGATGACTAACAACTGTCAGAGCAGCCGGAAGACCCACAGATCAGGCCGCAGTGTCTCCAGATTCATACCTGTTTGAACAAATAGGCAAGCACTGAAGCACACTCACCCATGACTTTTCTCCCCTACACGGGCCTCCAGAGGTGAGCCAAGCTCCTTTCCCTGACTGCCTCCTCTTCTACTTGGGAGCTGTGGAATTGTTCTTGTTGAATAAAAGTCCACCCTGGTAAAAGGCAGTTTTAAGTGATTTGAGAATATTATCAAATTATTTTAGCAATTTCTAAAGGTTTTGATGTTTAAAAGGTTAGTATTTTCTGTTTTGTTGGTTTTATTTAGGTTTCCTGAAATAAGGAACTTGTCTGAATTTTTTCACTAATTTCTCAGTGAAACTGTAGTCTCTCGGAGACTCTCTGGAGAGCCTGCCACACTGCTGGGAGAGAGATGCGGGGTTTCCCTATTCTGTTTCTAGTTTCCACACTTGACTTATC